ATTCTGTATTTTGTGACGATTTTCTTTGTTCAAAATTAAGTTTCATTATAATTTTAGTAATAATGATTATTTTAGTTTTTGTCACCAAAATATACATATTTTGTTAGCATCATTTCTTTATCCAATGAGTTTCTTCTTAAAGACCTAGGAGAGTTTCATCATTTTTTGGGAATAGAAGTGACTTACACCTCAAATGGTATGGTTTTAACTCAACAAAGCTACATCCACCAAATTTTACTCAGGGCAAATATGGAGAAGTTCTTATCTAAGTTTGATGGGAGTCATTTTTCCTGATGCAAAATTGTACAAAAATTGTACAGGACATTGATAGGGAGTCTTCATTACCTCATACTCACTAGGCCTGGCATTGCCTTTTCATTCAACAAACTTAGTCAGTTTATGCAATCTCCAATGGACACACATAGGAAAGCCATGAAAATATTCTTGAGGTACATGAGTGGCACCCTGGCCTGTAGTCTGCAGCTTCACAGGTCTTCACACCTTTATGTGTATGCCTTCTTTGATTCTGATTGGGCCTCAGACCCAGATGATGGAAAATCTACTTCTGGTCATTATGTCTTTGCTGGCAAAAATCTGGTTTCTTAGAGTTCTAAGAAGCAACATACAGTCTCCAGGAATAATACAGAAGTTGAATATAGAAGTTTGGGACATGCTGCTGATATGCTTTGATGAAGACATTGTTACATGAGCTTTGCATTTTTCATATTCAAGCACCAACCATTTGGGTAGATAACTTAGGTGTTGTGTTCATGTCTTGCAATCTGGTTATCGAAGGAAGAACCAAGCATATCGAGATTGACTTACACTTCATACGTGAAAAGGTTCACAACAAATCAATTGTAGTCCTTCATGTCCCTGCTCTAAATCAAACTGCAGACATTTTTACAAAACCGCTCATCGGGCAATTCTTCCTTCGCATGCTCAACAAGTTAAATGTTGTTCCTCTGTGCTCACTTAAATTGAGGGGGATGTTAGCATGAGCTCCTCCACGTCTACGTCAGCATAAAGACTGGTCAACATGAAGGCTAGCTCCACGTGAGCTCCATCCATGCAGCATCCTGCATGGACAGTTTTGTCCCCAAAAAGCATCTCGGCTCATTTAAACTTTTTGACATTTCCTTCTCTTTTGGCTTTGTCTTTTGTCCTGTTCTTGTACTATTTTGAGCTTATCTTTTAAGGTTCTAGATAGATCTATCAATGAGGTTGTATATAAAGGTGTTAACTCTTTTTTTTAGGTATCAAGAAAGTATTCACCACAATTTCTTCTCCTAGCTTTGAACCCTAAATTGGTTAAGCAAATTTTATTGCTTTCTGTGAGATGCTTTATTTTGTTTCCAACAAATGTCGATCTTCAACTTGAATGCCTTAAATCTTCAAGAACAGTAGAATATCTTTGAATCTTAAAGAAAATTAATGAGAGCTATTGAAGACTTGACTTGAGACTTTAATTTATGAGGTGTCATTTTTTGGCTTTGAGAGAGCTCTTATTTTTTAGGTGTAGGAGGGAATGTATTGAAGAAGAAGACATCAGTTTGATTGATCCTTCATTTTTTATATAATCTCTAGATAATTACTTTATTAATTATATATCTATTTATCTTGAACTTATGTCCAAAAAAATAAAGACATTAAAGAATAAAATATTAAAATTTCGATGTCTACACATAAAAACAAAATTTCTCACATTAAATGTCAAACATTTTATATATAGCATAGATACCCCATTAATTTTGTAAAAATGGCAGATATGTGTGATTGTGTTCAGCAAAAAAAAAGTCACTATTTTTATTTATTTATTTATATTTTTTTTAATTTCATCTGTAAAAATGCCAACCATTTCAAATTTGTTTCCAACCCTCAGATCCAATATAAAAGGAACAGAAACCACACACACAATTAGTGAGTGAGAGATTCTCAGTATCATTTATTTTGCTGATTGTATAACTCATTTTTCCTTCTCCTTTTGTGATTTCATTTTCCCAACTTTTCAGATTCATCATCTTTTTGTAAATGTAAGCATATTACAGATATTTAATCTTTTTTTCTTTTTTCTGGATTTGTCATTTGTAATTGATTAATGTGTATATATTGGTGGTGTTTTTGAGACATAGGGCCGAAGAGGAAATTGTGGATCCAAAGAGGGTTCTTGAGGATTCATGCAGACCTAAATGCACAAAGCTCTTGGTTGATTATCAGGTAATCAATAACAAGTGATTCCAATTTTTTTTTTCTCCAACAAACAATGTTCCAAAATTCTCCTAGCTCATGAGTGATGATATGCTTGCAATGGTTGTAGGAGTTTTGCTTTGATTTTCTAGTTGATATTTGAAATATGAAGTATGATATTGAGCAAAATAAGGGATTAGAAGGAGAATATGAATGTTTAATGCATTGTGTCTTATTATGAGATGTTGAAAGAGACTTTTAGTAAAATAGAAGGAAAAGCCAAAGTCGAATTACGTAAAATTTATGCTTTCTTTAAGAAGAATTTGCCAATTATAAATACCCAGGATTTTGAGATTTTTCTCTGTCTTTCACTTACGAAAAACGAAAAACGTAAAAGTCGATTCAGAACTAAATTTTACTTGCAATTGCCAAATCAATTTGACACGTTTGTGTGTATTCGAGCCAATGAAATCTGAATATCAGATATCACGACTCAAATGAATTTTGCAAACAAGTATTATAAATATCAACCTACTCTCACTTGGCTCAGCCTTTTGATGGGATTAAAATACACATTGATTTTCTCTGTTTTTCTCACAGAGTTGTGTCAAGAGAATCGAAGGAGATGACAGTGGGAATAAGCACTGCACGGGGCAGTACTTCGACTACTGGTCGTGCATAGACAAATGTGTAAGATTTTTGTTCGGCTTTGGGTTTTCTAGAATTTTAATTAGTTCTACTCTTCCTTTTGCTTTTATACTATGTCACTCTTTTTTCTTTTTTTTCCTCTAAATGGCTTTTCTTGTTCAGGTTGCACTTAAGCTCTTTCAGGAGCTGAAATAAGCTGAAATGGAAAGATGTAAATGGCACTAACATTTGTTATGTTTTTCAATAATATTGCTTTAAGATCATGACTCATTTATGTACCCATCTTTTGTTATTTTTGTTAGTGTTTGGCAATGCAATTTTTTATTGAAGTTTGATGGTTAGGTTTTAAGATTGATAATGCTTTTGTTACTCATTTTGTTGCATTCCAACATTTTGCTTCATTCTGAACATGCCTTTTGTACTTGTTTTGCTGCAGATTAATTATGTATTACCACTTCTTTAAGTTTTGAGGCTAAGGCTCAACTGTGACAATGGATTATGTAAAATCAATATTTTGACTTATAATTTTTCAAATTTGTAGATTGTTCAGGCATAATTGTCAAACTTCTAATGTACTTATGAATAGCTGACCTCTAGAAAANAAAAAATAAAAGCATGCCATAGTTTTGTGAAGTAATGGTTTTGGAGGAAAACGAATTTTTTAGCAATTATTTTTTAGCTTTAAAAAAATAAAATAAAAACATGTCAATATACTATTGGTGAATAAATGTGTATGGCTCCATAAGTCGATCCATCCGATGACTCCATAGCAAAACTGTTACAGAGAGATTGTTGGATACAAATGTGTATTCAATTTTGTCTTATACGATAAAATTTTTCTCATTAAAATTGTGATTGAATATAATTTTTGAAAATTAATATATAACTAATTTAATTTTTTTCTCATTCTTATTAAATAATTAAAAAATTATAAATTATCATTACTACACATCTCCAATAAAATTCACTTTTCAATCCCTCACTCATTGGTACTAAGTTCAACTGGCAAAGAGAGGGGTATAAGTGGATCTAATCTGCCAAACCTGTGGAGAAGATCAAGAAGATATAGAACATCTGTTCTATAAATGCAAATCTACCAAACTTTGTTGGAAGTTAATTGGTTTAGAGTGGTCAGAATGAGAAGAGAATCAGAAGACTATAAAAGATTGGTGGGAGGATATTTGTGCTAGTGCTAAGTTCAGAAAAATGAAGGATAGGGTTTTGCTCTCTGTATGCTTATTATGGAGGATATGGAAAGTCAGGAACAACAAGCTTTTTAGAGACAAAAATTTCACAGAATACAAGTCAGTGCCTTATGTCATCCAGGAGGAAACATACACTGAGTTCAAAGGTGGTACAAAAGCAACTGGCGGGGGAAACATACACTGAGTTCAAAAAGAAACATTTTTCCAAGAAGGTAGGACTTGTACAAATACAAGTCAGTGCCTTATGTCATCCAGGAGGAAAGGTGGTATGGAATTGCAGTGCAAGCTTTGATGGAGCTGTAATGGATAACTGGCAGGATGAGGAAAATGGAGTTGATGACATTCATGTGGCAGTGCTGCTAGCAGTCAGAGGTGCTTTATATGGAGCATCAAAGAGGAACTGGAGAAAAATGGAGTGCAACATCCTAGATGAAGATATTCTATTGCAACTCCAATCAAACAGAGACACACCATCTGCTATGTCTGGGGTATTTAGTGATATAATGCAACTTTATCAGAGCTTTGAATCTTGTAACTTTATTCATAAGGATTAATTGTTTTTGGTGATTTATGTAACCCAATAAGGTTGATTAGGGCTTATCAGGTGTATAAGTCCGTTTCCTTGCTTGTCTAGTTTACTAGGTAAGTTAGATTGTACTCAGTTGATGTCCGGTTAGATCACTATCTTTGAGTTTTATATATATTGATCTTTGTTGGAAAAAAGAATCCCTCACATATTATTAATCACCATTCATTTACCACTTTATTTATTATTTTTGTATTATATATTTTAATTATAAAAATTTATTTTACGTCTATTCACAAATTCAAAGATAACTAATTTTTTATCTTTTCTTTTTTCAATTTAATCCCACTTTTATTGTTGATTTTTTTTTTTAGATTATTTCTATGAAAGTCCACAATGTCAGCGTTTCATTTGCATTTCATTTCAACGTCATTTCAATTTATTTTACAAACACGCGTTTGTAGCAGAGTATATAGAGGAACTCCTCACTCTCTCTCTCTCTCTGGAACATTCGTCTCTGTTGCACTTTTCAAACGCACTACTCAGAAAAGCACCAGCAAAGGTGAGCAAAATCTGAAAATCTTACTATTTTTTTTTCGATTAGATCTTGTTTACCTCAGTAAGTGTTGCTTTGATTTGTGGATCTGTGTTTTTTTATGCATGTATGATTGCTTTGATTGCATGTTTCGTTGTTTTGTGATGGTTATTTTCAAAGAAAAGTGGGCTTTTGCTAATTAATCTTGTTTTTAGAATAATCCTCGACGGTAATCTTGTTTGACGGGCTAAATCCTCTCCGATCTGTGTGGAAATGAGACTTGGCATGAACTATTTGTGGTGTATTTGGATTTTAAATTCGTATCGCTCTTATCATGTATGTTGATCGCTGGGTTTGAAGATTTTTGGATAAGAAAGTACTTTTCAGCTCTAGCTGGTAATATATTTGAAATTGGTCTGGTGAAGCTGGGAAATTGTTGTATAATTGCCTGTTATTGGAGCTTCAGCTAACAAAAGTACTGATCTTGATACATGGTTTTAATTGCTGTCATATGGGCTTTTAGCATGTCAATAGTCTTTTGTTATTTTTCAACGTGTGGTTGTTTCAGTTGGTGGTCCTTGTTCTCTACTGCTTCAGTTTGCAACTTCACATATTCTTGTACCAGTAAATTACTAAATATACTCTGGGCCTCCGGCAAAAGCAAACAACAAATTCAAGGTGACAAAATAGAAAATAAAATGTGTTTTCTGACCTAATGGTGAAATGGTGTGTGTCTGTGTGTGTGTGTCTAAGCCTAAGCCTGCTGTGCATCATGCATTGAATTCTGTAAAGCAAAGGCGATTACCATTTTTATCCTTATGATATGTGTAAATAGCAGATAATGGGTGTAGTTCGCCATCAGTGATTATATATGGTGAACCGTGTTGTTACTGGAACTCCTTTAGTTTTCTGAGTCATCATTTTAGTCTGTTTCTGTTTTTATCAATTAATTTTCTCTAATGGACACAGCATAACATAAAATGGCCGATGGAGAGGATATTCAACCCCTTGTTGTTGACAATGGTACTGGGATGGTTAAGGTGAGCCTTCAGTTTAATTTCCTGTTTTGTTTATCGGTATCTGGTTTCATATGAGGCAAGTATAAAAGTGACAAATCTTCTTGAATTTTACTCTTTTTTTACGCGCTGCAGGCTGGCTTTGCTGGTGATGATGCTCCAAGGGCAGTTTTCCCAAGCATTGTTGGGCGACCTCGACATACGGGTGTTATGGTTGGAATGGGACAAAAAGATGCATATGTAGGTGACGAGGCTCAATCCAAAAGAGGTATTCTGACTCTAAAGTACCCGATTGAACATGGGATAGTCAGCAACTGGGATGACATGGAGAAAATCTGGCACCACACTTTCTACAATGAGCTCCGTGTGGCTCCTGAGGAGCATCCTGTTCTGCTTACAGAGGCACCTCTAAACCCTAAGGCTAACAGGGAGAAAATGACTCAGATCATGTTTGAAACCTTCAATGTTCCGGCAATGTATGTTGCCATCCAGGCTGTCCTATCACTGTATGCCAGTGGGCGTACAACTGGTATGTGTTGAATTGTGAATAGATGTCCCTATCTCAAGCTAGCTTTATAACTATAAGTTCGTCTATTTCTTTGTTGTATCTGTCTCGAATTTTTTGCACATGACGTTGACCAACGTTAGGGAACTGATGGCATCATCTGATAATTTTGTCATTGCAACATATTTACAAAGAATCCTGAATTTTTGTCTTACCTTTTACATCTGCACCCCAGAAGTTTTCTAAGCATAACATGCGCCAAGCAAATGTTGGGGCTCATTTTAATATTTTGCAAAGTTGCAGAGTGTGATTCTAAAATACTTTTTACATTAATGATATCTGTCAATATAACTAACGGTTGGGGACGAAATGTAAGTGGAATGAGACCTCAAGAGCTATTGCTTGTAATTTTCAAAGTTTTAACTTGGTATTTTCTTGGAGACCCAGAAGCATTCCATGTAACTTCATTATAAATAGTTTATTATGTCTTCTTTGTGAACAGGTATCGTGCTCGATTCTGGTGATGGTGTGAGCCACACTGTCCCTATTTACGAGGGTTACGCACTCCCACATGCTATTTTGCGTCTTGACCTCGCTGGCCGTGACCTAACAGATTATCTCATGAAGATCCTGACCGAAAGAGGCTACATGTTCACGACGAGTGCCGAACGAGAAATTGTCCGTGACGTGAAGGAGAAACTTGCATATGTTGCCATCGATTTCGATCAGGAAGTCGAGACTGCTAAAAACAGCTCAGCTGTTGAGAAAAACTACGAGCTTCCTGATGGACAGATCATTACCATAGGTGCTGAGAGGTTCCGTTGTCCGGAAGTGTTGTTCCAGCCATCTCTGGTTGGGATGGAAGCTGCGGGAATTCATGAGACCACTTATAATTCGATTATGAAGTGTGATGTGGATATTAGGAAGGATCTTTATGGAAATATTGTGCTCAGTGGTGGGTCTACCATGTTCCCGGGGATTGCAGATCGTATGAGTAAGGAGATTACTGCTCTTGCTCCCAGCAGTATGAAGATTAAGGTGGTGGCTCCGCCTGAGAGGAAGTACAGTGTCTGGATTGGAGGTTCTATCCTAGCTTCTCTCAGTACTTTCCAACAGGTGATTGCTGTTCATTTTTCTTTTTCTCTTCATTTTTTTTTTTAAAATGTGAGTTCCTTTAGAGTGTGATTGGATATGGATTTGATTGTTTTTCTTTTAACCATAGTTAATTTTAAAAAAGGTGGTATGATTAGTTGTTAGTGGGTAGATTAAAATAATATTTTAAAAAAAATAATTAAAGTGGATTTAATGTAAAAGTCGGAGAAAAATGATTGGAAGTGATGATTAATTATAATTATGTGAGTGGATGAATAGTGAATTAAAGTTGATGTGATGTGTAAGAATGATTGGTTGATATTATTTAATTATATTGATAATATTTAGGGTAGTGGGGTTGGGTTAAAGTTGAGTTAAATTTGAGTTTTGATTGTTTTTTTTCTAGTTAAGTTCATAACCAATCACACCCTTAAGCTTCCATTGAAATTGTTGATCATTTTCACTTCCCTTTTCAGCCAGAAATAATCTTATGATTGGCCAAACCAAGAATTCAGTTTAAATTTCCTCTTATGTTAAAGGGAACTTGAATCTTACTTTGCTTTGTGTGTATATTTTAGTGCATGTTGAACAATTGTCAATATGATGCCTCGTTTTATATATTTTATTATTCTGCAGATGTGGATTGCAAAGGGAGAGTATGATGAATCTGGTCCAGCAATTGTTCACAGGAAGTGCTTCTAATTAAGCTGGTGAGTCTGTGTGGGGTTATTTTTCTGCCTTTTCTGGTTTTATCGAATTGGGCCAAGTGATCGGTTGAGCACATGAAATCAGATAAGAAGGTAAGAAGACCTTTTCCAGATAATTTATTGTTTTTTTTAAATCCGAGGTTGTGAACAAATGGATGTACAGTGGGAGTTTTTTTGGTGTCTGATGTGTGGTTGGAAAATGTTATGGTGACTGATGGATTTGCAAATGATTTGGTCACATTTTTTTTTTGGGACAGCAGTTATTGTTTTCGGCTTGAATGTGTGGTTTCTATGTGTGGGTTGGCTTGTACTTTTGAGTTGTATTCTTGAATTGGTTTTGTGAGGAGTTTGATTGGTGCATAGACATTAATATTTACTTCTTTCAATTATTTTGATTTTGATTTTGTTTTTGGATAGTTTCCAGTGAGATTTTTTACCGTCGAATCTCTTTTCACACACAAACACAGCCATATATGTGTGTTGATCCAATGATAAAACGATTTAGGCCTTGGAACAAGTGGACATGAATTGGTAATATTGGCCTTTTCTCGCTTCTCAACTGGTGTACATGCAGTTTGTCTAGCTTCTTGAGTTTGATCCTTACTGGAAATGCATTGGGCATGGAGAGGTTTGAGCCAACTTTAGTGAACTGAATCATTTTGTTCACACATAATATTCGAAGCAGGGTATAGAGGTTTGAGCCAACTTTGGTGATGTTTCCCCTTCCCCAGTTCCGCATACGAGTATACATGTGCGAAATTTATAAAGCATGAAAAACTAACCGAACTTTGAGTTTATTTAAAGCTCGTTTGATTAATAAAGCTCGGTTTGATAAAGTGTGAAAAGATGATTTTTTTTATGTAATTTCTTATAGTTCAGCTTACTAAAGTTTGATTTCAGCTCGTTAAGACTAGAGTTTGGCTCGTTAACAATAATAAATAAATCGACCTCGGGTTTGATTATAAGCTCGTCGTTCACACCCCTAGTCATGATATGAAAAATAAAACAAACAATTTACAAAATGCAAAGGACAATATGCCAAAATGCAACCCAAAAATTGCTCCACTTCATAGTTCATACCAAAATGCAAACTCAATTTGCGTTATCTCATTTATTTTCTGTCCAAAAAACGTACTCAATATGCGTTACCTCATTTTGTGTGTTTTCTGTCCAAAAAAATGTACTCAATTTGTGTAATCTCATTTTTTGCTGTCCAAAAAACGTATATGTATTCGTGTTAGTCTAATGGTACACAGAGGCATAATGTTTTAGAAACTATAAAATTGTCCAATGATATATATTGACGCATATATGATATACTAGTTTCTATGTATTTAATGAGATTCTCGAGGCATTGATATTTTTTACATGTATATTACTTTATATATTTCTCCTACTAATGTATTCGGTTAAATAAAAATTAAAAATAATTTTTGAAACAATTAATATTATATATATCCTTTAGTATATATATTATTAGTATGATAGTTAAGATAATTTTAAAACAATTTTTAGTTAAGATAATTTTTAAAACAATTATTATTATATATTTTCTTATAGTATATATAATTAATATATATATGTTCATACATTTAACTTTTTTACTGATAACAATAAAAAATAACACTAAATCTATGAAATATAGTAGAAATTAGATATTTATTAAGCATATCAAATGATAAATTCAATCAAACGATGTAAAAGTATTGGTAAAAGATTTTCTTCAAAATTTATACAAATAATTTAAATTAATTTATCAATAGTCTAATAAAAGATTGGCAATAAATTCATACAATTCTTCTTAAATATTTTTTGTGAAGTTAAATAAGAAAAAATAATTTTGGCTGATTAAACAAATGTATTTCAATATTTTGCAAATGTACAAAATATTAATCTATAATATATTACTATATATTTTTTGAAATTAAATATAATATAATATTGGATTTACTTTGTAAATTTTGTTAAATATGTGGGTGGTATAAAAAATGTGTAAAAGCTAATCTGAGAGAATATTACGATAATATTTTTTAGATTTGAGAATAAGTTCAAGAATAAGTGTTTGATGTTTGAAAAGTGTTTTTTGGTTGAGATTGTCCGTTCTTCCTCTCCATAGCCAGCACGAGCAGATCGAAGGTGAGATTAAAACAATTTTTTTTTCGAGTTTATCTTTTCCTGTCTCAATTGTTTGTTTGTTTGTTTGTTTGTTTGAGCTGTTGATCTGTGTGTGTTCGCGATTATGAAAAGCTTTATCTTGCTCTCGCTGTGAAGGCTATGTGCTCGGAATCGGTGTTTTAATGGATCAAATTTGCGTTAAAGTGATCACTTTTTACTATAACAATTGTGGTGAAATCGATGCGAACAAGTTCACGTGATGATGCTCTGAAAAGCTCCTATTTGAATGGAAGTGCTAGTTTGAGTAATTGCGATAAGAGAGTTGCTTGCTTTCCAAGCTTTAGAATTTCTGTTCATTTGTCTTTGGTGTTGGAAAAAATTAGTAAGTCTGGCTTCTGTTGAGTTTTAGTCATTTTGTGATGTTATTTGCTTCTGATGATGAGAAATAAGACAATTGTTTTACTTTAGAGGTCGAAATTTAAAATTTTAGCCGAATAATAACTGCAGCTACAGCCTATAAGCCCATCTTGTCTGCAGAGCATGCCCTGTAAATTTGTCTAATGGTGATACTTCACGAATGCTTGCTTGGGTTGTTATTTGTTTAATATCCTCAATTTGCTAAGTTTACTGTTGCCTCGTTTGTGTGTGTGCTCTCGTTTTGCAGCATACTAACCAACCGCAAATCCTTACAAGAGAGCGTAAGCAACAATGGCTGAGGGGCAAGATATTCAACCTCTCGTTCTCGATAACGGATCTCGAACTGTTAAGGCGAGCTGTCGATTATTTCCCCCCCTTTCGCATATTAATCTTGTTTCCAAATGGCATATTATTGTCTCTCCATTTTATATCTTATTTTCACTAGGCTGGTTTTGCTGGTGATGATGCCCCTCGGGCAGTTTTCACGAGCATAGTCGGCCGCCCTCGCCACACGGGCGTGATGGTCGGGATGGGTAAAAAGGACGCTTTTGTAGGTGAAGAGGCCGAGTCCAGAAGAGGCATCCTCACACTAAAATACCCCATCGAGCACGGCATAGTCACCAATTGGGAAGCCATGGAGAAAGTTTGGCACCACGCTTTTCAAAACGAGCTCCGTGTTTCTCCCGAGCACCACCCTCTTCTCCTCACTGAGTCCCCTCTCAACCCGAAAGCAAACCGCGCGAAAACAACTCAAATCATGTTTGAAACCTTCAATGTTCCGTCTATGTACGTTGCTATTCAACCCGTTCTTTCACTGTACGCCAGCGGGCGTAAAACCGGAATAGTTCTCGACTCCGGTTTTCAGAAAAGCCACGCGGTCCCGATTTACGAGGGCTACGCCCTTCCTCACGCCGTCTTACGTCTGGGTCTCGCGGGCCTTACGTCACTGAGTATCTCATGAAGATCTTTACCGAGAGAGGCTACAGTTTCAGACACAATATTTCACGGGACATGATGATTGATGTGAAAGAGAAGCTTGCCTACGTGGCACTCGACTTCGAACGGGAGTTGGAAAAAAACGCGGAAAACAGCTCGGAGGTCGAACAGAGCTATGAGCTGCCCGACGGGGAGTTCATCACCGTAGGGCACGAGAGGTTCCGCTGCGCGGAGGTTCTCTTCCGGCCGTCGCTGGTCGGGATGGAAGCTTCCGGAATTCACGAGATGACGTATAATTCTATTGAGAAGTGTGATGTGGATATAAGGAAGGATGTTTATGGGAATATCGTGCTCAGTGGTGGGTCCACCATGTTCCCGGGCATTGCCGAACGTATGAGAAAGGAGATAACTGCTCTTGCTCCGAGTGGTGTGGAGGTTAATGTGGTGGCCCCACCTGAGAGGAAGTATAGTGCCTGGATCGGAGGCTCGATTTTGGCATCTCTCAGCACCTTTCAGCAGGTTTGCTATTTTGGTTTTTCACTTCTGAGTTTTTTAATTTGGCTGTTATGTTTGGATTCAACTTCTTCGAAAATTGAAAATTGATGCTTTAAAGTTAAAAACTCCTGTTTTTTTGTGGTGGTGCAGATGTGGATATCGAAGCAAGAGTACGATGAATCTGGTCCGGGAATTGTTCAAAGGAAGTGTTTCTAGGAAGGTACGTATGTTTTGTTTACTTTTTTTTCTTTTTCTTCTTCAAATTTAGATGAACAAATTCGAAATTGACAAGACCCTTCTCATTATACTCCATTTATAGTAATTAGTAATCCTCTTCTTTATTCGAATTTTGTGGAAGTTTTTTCGGATGGAAGTTGCTATGTTTGTTGGCTTTGAACTTGGGATGTCGTGCGAGTTTGTAGAACTTAATAGATTCATTTTCTCATGAAACCATTTTCGCCATTGATAAAAAGCTCTGAAAGTTCGAGCTCTAAATGTTCAGTCCAGAGTGAATAATGAACCCCCAAGCTTACATTATCCATGTTTTAGAGAACCGATAAACGTATCAATTATAACTAACACAAAAGATGCCAGAAAATGCAAAACACGAGTCTTTAAGTGAAGGAATAAAACATGAAAATATAGAAATAATGAAGTGGAGAAAATAAGAAACGACTTTTGTCAAGCCACGCCATGCCAACGTGCATACACGTCAGCTCACCATGTCAACAGAGTTTTGATTGCAGCCCTTGAGCTCACCGAGTGAACTTGAAGTAAGGTCTCTATTGTGACTGATGTTGTATTCAAGAGTGAGATTTTATGTTATTTTTCTTAATCTTGTATTGTGAATGTTTGGGGTAGGAGTGTGTAGTATTGTACCTCAAGCTATCTGTATTATATTGCCAGCACCAAACTCTTTTACCATGTATGTTATTATCATGCTACTGAATTTTGGGATGAAACATGGTGTTCTCATTCGGTTTGTTTATCAGCATTGCTTATGTTGTAGGAGAAAATGATTTTGATCCGAGTACATGGAATAGGGGTGGGGTGGAAAAACTTAAAGTATTCAATAATCATATTGTTTATGAATAGTTAATATATTTTGCCACTTGTCTTATTGAATCATGTGTCCATAAATTATGGAATGCTGATTTTGACAATATTGTAATGAAATAATATTTGGGAAAAGATTGAAGAANNNNCTCCCCCTTTCCTCTCAACCCTAAATCCCCAAATCGCTAGTCCGATGCGATCTACCTGCTTGAGACCACGGGTTTGGGGGGTTGAGACTTGTTAGGCTTTTACTGCAGTTTCAGGCTCGACGCACTGGACCTAGTTTCAGTTCGTGGGGTACTGATGGCTCTTGACAGTTAGTTGCTTGTCGGCTTGCAGTGTTGCTTGTCGGCATAGAGGAGGGCTTTAGTTTTGTAGTTATTTTTGTAGGTTTGTTTTGTGTTTGTTTGTGTTAGTCTGTGTGTGTTTGTGGTTGTCTGTGTTTTGTGGGTTGTTGTTTTGATTTATCCTCTTTAGGAAAGTGTATTACTCCCGTTTGGGAGAATGTATTCGTTGAAGCCTTTTATTTTATTTTCTTTTTGGTTTCTGTAGTGCGTGTTGTGGTATGTGAGCTACCCTGAGTAGTTCTCTTATTCCGGCTAGTTAGTCGATTTTAATTATATGTTTTAGTTAATGAATATGTCGTTTTGAAAAAAAAAAATATTATAATGAGAAGAGTAAAGAGTGTTTGTCATGTATATTGGGTAAGTCAATATGTAAGTCATTCTAATAGTGACTTCGTTTATGAAAGTGTTCTGTTGGATAATTATTTGATATTATTGACATTATTGTAGTTAGGTTAATATATGATGTGGTAAATTTATTAGTTTGTTATGCATAAGAGTTTTGCTGTTAAACAAACTTATAACCATCGGACAAGTTTCGATAAATATGCATGCCTATGATTAAGAAACTCAAAGTGAATTTCTGAGAGGAATGTACGGGCAAGCGAGGTTTCACCTGAAATTGAGGAATTGGCCTGACCTCGCCGGTGGTGGGATTCCACAGGAGTTCATCGTCGGAGCTCAACACCACCCATTGGTCGCAGCCGCCGAGAAATTCATAGCCGGCGCTGCTATTAAGCTGAGAGAAATTGGGGCGATTGGGGTGAATATGTTCGAGCGATTTGCTTTCAATTGAGAGTGCATATAGCTTGTGGGGTCCGGTGTCGGGATTCGGCTCCACCACAAACATGAGATTGTCGTCGGCGGCGTTGCTGTTGTTGTTTTTCTGCTCCACCATATTGCGGCCGAGGGCCGCCGGGCCGTGCGCTGGAGTGCTGAAACGACGGACACCGGAAGAAGGATCGCGATGTAAAATCCGGCTCATGGCCGTGAGAGGTGGGGTTGTACGGGGCATTAATCCGGTGACGGCGGCGAGTATTCGGAGCGCCATGTTTGCGTGCAGAGAAATAATGAATTTTCAAATCCTCGATTGTCATTTCCCATATATTTAGCCCAATTGACACGAACACTTGGGCCCAAATCCGGGTAAAACATTATCATCGAGGCTCTGTATTTACAATTTTTTTTGAAAAATTGATAGACATTAAATTNTTTTTTTTAATGATACTAACAAATTATAACTAGACATCAAATTTGGTATTTTGGTTTTTTATAAAGATACAAACAAACTATAACCATCTGGACGTGTTAAATCCTAGCGAATTTCGGATTAAACGATTCAAAAAGTGTAAAATTAAAAAGATAAAAAAAATAATTTAAATATACATTATATTAAGTTCATATATTTTTGCATGCTTTTAATTGAATTACATTAATAAAATAATAAAAGTAATTTTGTATTAAATATTATTGTTGTATATTAAATGTTTCACAATAATAAGGATGTAAAACATAGAATTCAATCGGGTTGGAACAAGTGGAGGAGCGCGTCGTCGATACTTTATGATCGTAAAGTACCACTGTACCAGTGAGTTTGAAATGTAAGTTCTATCGAACGAACATTCGACCGATGATGCTTTATGGATCCGACTTCCGAGTGTTGGGCTACTAAATATGAAAATGATAAAAAAATGCGAGTGGCAGAGATGAAAATTTTGAGATGGATGTGTGGGTATACTAGGTTAAATATTATTAGAAATGTCAATTAAAAAGTGGAGGGATAGACCTAAGAAAATTTGGAAGAATAATGATCTAAAATATTTAAATTTGAATGAGGATATGTGATTTGAACGATGGCGACATGTGATCTATATAGCAAACTCCACTTAATGGAATTTTAACGGCTTGTTGATTGGTTGATTAATTAAATGTATCACAATATACCAAAAACAAAAGCAAAGTAGTTTTATTCATTTTAAAAAATTATGACAAAGTTTATTAACAAATTTTAGAATAACTAGGGATGCTTGTTTACAAAATATTTCACTCACATTTAATACATACTCAAAACATAATTCAACATTAACTCAACTTCACTATCCTTAATATTATTTATTCATATAATTAAATAATTCAAACAAATCATTCTTACATATCACATAAACTTTAATTTATTATCCACTCACTCACATAGTTTTAACTATCACTTTACATCATCTCTCGTCTACTTACACATCAAATTAACTTTAATTATTTTATTTTACATATTATTTTAATATAAACTCACAATTCCACAACAACTAATTATATCATTTTTCAAAATTAACACTGGTTAACCAAAAAAACTCATTTTGAGCGAATTAATTATATTTTCCACATATAAACTTAAAATTAATTTCTCGTTCACCTTAAAATGATTTTGAGAATTTTCTAAGTCTTCCGCTTACGTAAAATGGAACAGTTAAATTGGTACAAACCAATTATTCATTTTTAAATATTTATATTTTTTAACTAAAATATATTCAAAAAGATTAAAATTAGTTCTTATAAATAACTAATTAAAAAATAAAAAAGTTGAACGGATCATTTTTTTTTTTTTGAAACATCAAATATATTATAATTTAAAATTCAATAAAGTACAATTGAGGTACCAACAGGCACCAGAGAAACCAAAGCAAAGTCTGGACCAACCCCCTTAAATATGCGTTCAAGGGGTAGAAACTCCATCAAGGAGACCTAAGGAAACCACAAAACAAACTCCAGTGGGTAGAAACTCCATCAAGGAGACCTACAGAAACCACAAAACAAACTCCAAAAAGGAGACACATACTCCATAACAGAGACTAGACACCAGATAACAGAAAAGCAAAAAACACACACCTAATAAAATATAACCTCCCCTAAACGTAGCAGGCGAGCCAAACGACCACCTAACTGACCCCCGAGACACCACACCACAGCTAAAGGCACAACGAAACCACAAATCTAAATCACAGACCTAAAAAATGTAGACGAACCCCCTAGATAGATCCGACAAGGAGGTCGTTCTCGCTCTAAATCTGGGCTCCAAAAGTCTTCAACGTTGGGGAAGAGAAGAGTCGCCACGAACAAACCGAAGGGGTCAAAATCAAGACCGAGGAAGGACCATCCAAGGCTGCAACCAGTCGAGTGCGCCAACCCGCCATTTTTTTCAAGAGTATCAAATCAAGTTCTCTTTCCATCTGGCCGGTCCCCGCATTAAACATGCAAAAAATATTAACTTCCACAAGAAACTGCAATTTTTTCCACATTAAATCTGAAAAAAAAAAATGGTAAAACAAAACAAGGTTTTTGAACTTCAACCAACATCTATCCAGTATTGAACAACACAATGTGTGTGTATATATATTGCCCTCACAATTCATGAAACATTGGCAAACCTCTATGAATATAACAATAGTCTATAAAAGTTTTCCACGAATATAAAAAACAATAAAAGTACACAGATAAAATCCCTCTTCTTTCGGAGTGCCCATTAACTCCATACCAAATTCAAACTCAAATGCTACACATCACAGATTCAGAAGAAAAAAAAAAAAAATGTAGTTCAGATCTCACATGCATTAAAGATTAGATCAGACAATGCTAGGCGCGTCCCCTTCCCACGTGCAAACCGAACGTGCCCAACGAGTCCTAATACAGTCGACCAAAGGCGCGTGCTGAGGTTTAGACACCTCGCACGAACTCCCGGCCGACGAGGACGAAATCGGTATATCAGACATGAATTCCTCAGGCGTCCACCTAGGCGGAACCGAAACCCTCAGCTTCGTTAGCCTGGGCCTCTGTATCGGGCTCTCGTTTCCCACAATGTGGGCCCCATTAGCTATAGATTTTGCGATCCCGTTAAAATGGTACAAGTCAAAGACTTTTTTCCCCATCATTCCAGTCGAGTCCTTCATGCCTCCCAAACTCTTGTCGAGATCCAAAAGAAGCTGCCAGAATTCTGTCCACACGACAAAACCCACACTCGAAAAGTGCTCGACTTTTTCGGGCGGGAGGTTAATGTTGGCATCCCTGAGGACTTGACGGAAGCCATCGACGGTAATGAAGCCTCCGCCGCCACTTTGGTCTTGAGAGTCGAAAGCTCGGCGGATTTGGGATTCTCGGCTCTCGAACTCGTTTTCGTCCTGAACTTTGGTGTCGAGGGCAAAGAGGACCGTGTAGTGGGATTCACTCCCCACAACCCATATGGGCCATTTTGGGCATTTTAGGTACTGCCCGACTTTGCAGAAGTGGAGGGATTCGAGAAGTGTGAGGAAGCCTACCTCGACTGGTGTGGTGATTCCTTTTACGAACATGCCGCCGCCTAAGTCCATTTTCCCGTCGAACACATTGGCCACGGCGCTCCCGGAGAGTAACAAGTTCACAATTTCCTATTTGGTAAGTTTAAATTGTCTAGTCAGTAAAAATCATTATTGACTAATGATAAAGGTACATTAACATTTTTTTATCTTTTAACAAGATCCACTTATCTTATCATTCAGAATTCAAATAGTTTCTTAAGGGGTAATTGTTTATGGATTCAACTAGTTTTTATTTGGTTTGTTTCTTGACTATAGTTAATTTTGAAAAAAAGTGGTATGATTAGTTGTTAGTGGATATATTAAAATAATATTTACATTAAATAATTAAAGTTGATTTGATGTAAAGTAGGAGAAAAATGATTGGAAGTGATGGTTAGTTAAAATTATGTGATTGCATGAATAGTGAATTAAAGTTGATGTGATGTGTAAGAATGATTGGTTCATATTATTTAATTATATTGATAATATTAGAGATAATGAGGTTGAGTTAAAATTGAGTTAAATTTGAATTTTGATTGGTTTTTTTTTTTTTCAATGTAGAAACTTTATCCAATCGCCCGCTTAATATGTAACTTCGATCAGGACTTGAGAGTGTAATCATGAAAATAAAAACGAATATTGAGGGTATTAGTAATTTTGAAAGATAGCACAGCTTCTTTATGTTTTCTCCTTTTTTTTTCTTGTGGTAATTAGGCAAATCATCAAAGGCAACTTTTGTAATTAACTGAAGGGCAAATTTCATTCGTAGCTAATACCTGTGAAGCATGCCCAAATGGAGCGGTGACCAGCGGTTGACTTGGATCATCCCTGTCCTCTTGAACATTGTGCTGACAGCACATGAAGCATCATCAGAAACACAAGGAGAATCAAATTTACCACATTACTAAAAGAATTACAAGCATATTGCTTCTCTTGGCAAGTAAATTATTTGTGACATAGGAATAACTACAATCCACCCCATCCCCCGAAAGAAAGATAAAACATAGAAATATGTAAGTAGTGCCCAGCTAGAATCATGAGATATCAAAGAAGTGGAACAATTTAGAACATACCAGTCCCCGAGACAACATTGCAGATATCAAGAAAAGCAAAGCACCCAGACGACTTCGGAAAACAGGAAGCAGAATTTCTAGCTGTCGGAGTGCACTCCACCGAGAAGTACAAGTGTCGACTCTCAGAAACTTCTGCAGGTCAGCACCAGACTCAATAGAAAGACCTCTAAGAATTTCAGCGATAGCCTGCATAATGAAACAAATTTCTGAAGTAATCATGATGAAAGATTAGGTAAGCTGTAATTAATTCTACCCCCGGACCCATCATATTTTTCGCTATTATATTTGTCTCCGAACGTAAATTTTAAAAATATTAGCACCAAATTTTGCATTAATGATGATGACGACAGTCCAGATATCCAGCTTCAAGTTCAACTGGACACCAAAAAAGGATATGACATAAAAAGACGTGAAATATTAATTGCTTACCTCATCCTCCGACCCGTTCACGGACTTCAAGAAATCATGGTTGATAATATTTAGAGATGCTATTTGCGCTCTTTCATTACCGCCGCATAGGAAGAATATCTCACACATACTGCTTACCAAGGCCCTGTCAGGAAGCAGCACGATTTAATAAGTAAGATTAAAAAAAGCAACTATCCACCACTGAAAAAAAGTTCACCAAAATAGAAGCACGTAAAGTACTTTCCAGTTTCTAATTCTAGTAATTCCAGTGTATAGTAATAACAAATTTAATGGGATTTACTAGACCATGCATAGCAGTTCTCTCATCAGAATCACAACCTGAGACGATATGAATTTGCTATTAATCACAACAAGAACCAACATATAACATATCCACTTTCAAGAACGGTGAATAGAAATTAGCAGCATGATAAACAGGGAAACAAGCTCGTAGCACAATTTTGGCAACGTTATACAATGCCATACAATCTTACATCAATACAAGAGGTTACACTTTGAACAATGATAAAGCTTTACTTTGGAGGGTAAAAGAAAAAAAGAAAAAGATGGTCATACAACAGATACAAGGCGGGACATATAATAGCTCTATGAATGATGTAAGACGACCAATGACCTTGATTTTTTTCCTTCTGAGAGACGCGAGAAAATATCAGAAGCAACTGATTCATTATTGGCAACTCCTCTAACAGACAAATTTGTTGTCATGTTTCGCTCATGATCATCAGATGGTTCTGAACAAAATATAAGATATTTGAGTACAAACGCCTGCATAGTCCAGATATATGTTGTTAGGGTAATAAAAATGAAATACATACATGCATCAGTGGTCTAAAGTAAAGAATGTTGTATATAACTTGGCCGAGCAAATTTACAACAAGATTGCACCATGACGGAGCCCTCTTTTGTGAATACTTTGAGAAGCCTCACGTTGTTTAATTCACTCATAAATAAGTCCAAAAAGATCGCTACCCCAGTGACAGTAGGCAAACCCTATATATATGTCTTTTGTTTCTAGGGTGGTATGTTTTGCTTGGAAGGTGACATGAGAAAACAATATCTTTACCTGTATTGCGGCTAGTACCCCACAGGGCCCACCCTCATGCTGTACTAGCCCCATAGATGTCTCTGGGTCAGCACTAAACCTGCAAGACAGAGCCGTTTTTCAAAAGCTATTAGAAAACACACTCAATATTATTAATGATGACCAAAATCAATACAAACATACATACTTGGTTTGTCAGTTCCATTCGGAAAGTAGTCACCAAATAATAATTGGTTTGTCAGGTTATTAGCAACACAAGAACAGCATTATACACATGTGAATTAGATTAACCACAGAATATTGGGATGCATAATCGGGCATACCTCATACTTAATGCAAACACAAAAAGGAAAGGGCAAACGTTATGACGTGGCCCTTGGATGTTTCAATATATACAGAACTACCATGGAAAAGGAAAAACCTATTAGGTCAAGGGGAAATCGGCGACCCATAAAAAGAAACTGGAAACAATTTTTTTGGTGATTTCATCCTGGTCAACCAGGTAAGTTATCATGTCATATACCTTCAATCGTGGCTAAATAACAATTATACAAACCCTGGACTTTTGTTACACATTTTCACAGTGGTATCCCAAAATGCATCAATCAAAATTCATTTACTTAGTTCAACGATCATGCTTCACACCCCGTGACATGCTTATTAATTAGAGATTTCTGGATTATAAGTAATAACCTACTAGATCGAAAAATCTAACATTCTTGATCATATGCAGTACTATTTGAACAAATTTTACCTAATACCCTGATTGCTCCACTGTGCAAGTACATCTTTACTGACCCTGTTCCCAAAAATCATCAAGAAGAGCTCATCAGCCTCCAAGATCGATAACGAGGTGTCAGAAATTCCGCTCCCACCAACTAAATTTTCCAAGTTAACGCCTTTACCTTTGCCATCACCTTCTAAACCCCAAATCCCTACGTCCTTCACACTCTCCGCATTCTTAACTGTCATATCTAGAGCCGTACTGGCACCCACCGTCCCTGCAATTTTCACGTCCTTTGCACTCTCTACATTCTTCACCGCCGCCGGCCAAGCACTCTTTGCCGCCGCCATCCGCCTCTCCGCCGCCGCAGCCATCAGTTCCCGCTGGGTACGCCGATCCCTAACCTCCGGAGACTCCTCCGCGTCAGACGCCTCCATTCCGACGCCAGAATTCTCCCACGGCTTGCTCCGCTTAGGCTCAGGAGACTCCTGCTGCGGCGTGCTCTGTCTCGAGGCCATCTTCATATCCTCATCCTCTTGATCCGCCATTTTCAATCCGAATCTCAAAAACAAGCTTCAATTCAAATCAACAAAACGAGAAGAACTCGAGCTCTCCCCCAAGAATTAGGGTTTAACGGGAGGGTTTCATTTCAAACCCTTTTAAACGGCCATGGATTGGCTGTGCAGCAAGGAGAAATCCTAAATTGAGTAATCAGAATCTTGAAATGAAATGTTAGCTATTGAGCGTCAGAACATGTTAGGGTTCTTAAAAATCGGTACTAAAAAATGAAACCTCTGTTTCAGGTAGACGGGTCACGGGGAAGAATGATACGTCGTCGTTTTTGGTGGGATTTATTGGAAAAGACAGATGCGTTCTTTGAGCGAAGAGCGAAATAGTGTATGTGATGAGGGTAGGAAAGGAAAATCATTGTGCTTGGTGGTTAAAATGGAATCCCTGTTTAGTTATTTGGCAAATGATACAAGATAATTTTTCCAAAATTTACCATGGGATTTAACATAACTAGAAAAATATATTGATTTTTTTTCTGCACTTCGATTATTATTTTATGAATAAGACCAAATATTAATTGTTGTGATTAGTCGTTATAACTATGTTAATTGATAAATAATATTGATGTGATGCAAGACTAATTTTTTTTTTTTTNAGGTAAATAAATAGTAAGTGTTTTTTTTTAATGTATAAATTTCGATTGAATAGACAAATAAATTCTTAACGTAGTAATATTAAGATTTGACGAATTGATGACTGAAAGTTAGAGGGTCAAAATTAGAGTTTCATCTCCACATCACTTCTCGTGTTATAAATCAAGTGACAATTGTCAAAAGGCAAAAATACACAACTACGAGTCTTAGGGTGTATTCAATTCGGAATTTAAGTCATATTTTAAGACTTTTTAAGATTTGAGATTTTTTAGAATTTTCAGATTTTGGAAGAATTCTATGAAATTTCAAGTCCGGTAAGATTTGAAGTGAGATTTCATATAAGGTTTTTTTGTTTAGAAATCCCACTAAATCTTAAAAAGTCTTAATAAATCCTAGTGTCAAAAAAATTAAATACCTCAGGATTTTGTAAGACTTTTGAAAATCTCAATTGAATACCCCAAAATTTTTATTAGTTTAAAAAAGTCTTAACAAATCTAAATTGAATACACCAGGATTTCTAAAGTCTTAAAAAGTCCTTAAAAATCCTAAATAAATACACCCCCATTAGAGACAGAAATAAAGTTTATACGAGAGAAAGTTTTAAATACCAAATTAAGACTTGTGAGTGTGTCTCTCTGCCCCTAATAAGAGTTAAAATAAAAAAGGCAACTGGTCGAACTGATTTAATGCTTGCAATTCAATATGTGACTAATATTCTTACTTAATTTAATAAGCAAAAACTACCAAATAGAGACGAATCTCTTCAGCACCACAGGTTTGACAAATATTATTATATTTGATGTTTATGTTAGATTACCCTTCCAAGTAGAAAACAAAATAAGAGTTTATCTTGGGTGGAGGGGCTGTGAGGGGTGGTAGCGGCGTTTGGGTGTGGCTTGTGGCGTCCCCCCATTTCTTCTCTCCAGCTGGTTCTTCGCAGGTCTGCCGCTGCTCCGAGGGTGCCGTTGTCTGTTTGGTCGTTGGCTTCTTTGTGGTGCGGTGGTGCTTGGCTTTGGGCTGTTTTGGGGGAAGGGGACTGGGTGGTGCGTCTGTTGGTTACACCGGTGGTTTCGGTGTGGCTGGGGCATTGTTGCTGATTTTGTGCCCTTCTCCTTGGATCTCTGGTGTTGAATCCGAGGGAGGACCGGTGTTGTCGGACCTGCGGCTAGTGGTGTTAGCGGGGCTCCGGACGGTGGTGTCTTGTGGGTTAATTTTGGCTTCATTCGGTTGGAGAGCGAGTCGGCTTTTAGTGTTGTTTGGGGACTGGGACTACACCTTGCTAGGCTTCGGGCAGTGGTGGGTGTGGACCTCGTTCTTCGGACTTCTCCTTGGAGTTGGCTTCCGCCCACCTGTTTAGTTCGGTCTCTTCACTGAGGGAGGGCTTGTTTTAGATTATTGTGTTAGTGTTTTATTTTCGTAGTTGTGTTGTGCGTGTCTTGTGTTTTTGGTTTGGGCCGTTGGCCCCTATGAGCCCGAGTGTCAAATTTATTATCCTATTGGGATCCGACACTCGGGTATTACTCCGTTGGGGTCCTTGTAGTTTGTTTTAGTTGTTTGTGTTATTAGTTAGTTTAGTTTTGAGTGTTTTTTTATTCTAGCGTTGCTAGCCAGGATTCTAGGCGGTCTTCTGACCTGTCCCCCACTTTTTCAGTTATTAGCTGTTGTGTATTCAGTCGTTGACTGCTGTGTATTTGCACATTTGTGCATTTTTATAATATTATCTATCGTTTTTGAAAAAAAAAAAAAGTATATTATATGTGTTTATATAGGTATATATATAAATGTGAGACATATGGAAAAAGATTCAAATCGCAATTTTTTAATGCTAAATCAACATGTAAATATCAAAACTAAATAATTTTATCAAATAACAAATGTTTTAATATATTAAATTTATATAAGGCATATACTGCCAAATTTATTAATATTATATATACTTTGCATATAAATTGACCAATATGTAAAGATTTGACTATCATAACATAAACGATATATGAACATAGTATAAACAACTTATATATACATAAAATAGATTCACTATGGTTCATGGTAAAAAAATTAATAAGCAAATTATATACAAAGAGTAAACTTTGTTTGTTAATTTATATATATGAATATCCTAACA